TGGACCTTTACATAAAAAGTGGACCAAAAAGTGGACCTTTGAGCCTTGTGGGGGGGGGGTTCTTCCGAACCCCCCCCTGGCTACGGGCATGCTACCATTTCCCGTTTTTCACGCATCCATGAACTACTAAATCTGAAGCTTTCTAGTGAGACCTGGTATCGAAAAATACATGAATATGACTCACCAGGCTGATAATGTAAAATACGACCAAGTTCTTCTTTGTTTTTGGAATATCAATATTGATATTATTTTCTACTCCATGTACTACCAGAGGATTGTGATCCTCCACCAACGCCAGACTGCGCCAGTATACTCTTCTGTAACCCTCCGGGGCCACCCTACAAACATGGTGCGAATTGTTTGTACGATTGCGATGCCGGGTCCACTGAAGTCGGTGGCAACGACATGCTGACCTGCAATGATGGGTTCTGGATTGGAGTCCCCCTGGACTGTAAAAGTAAGTATGTCACAGGGACTACAGTTTCCTGGCTGTCCTCGCGCTTACATTTATGCCATGTATGTTCCAGTCATGGTACTGGTATTGAACATTTTGAAAATGAACAAGAATTGGACTCATCTTCAGGTTGATAATGTAAACTACGACCGAATTCAGTTTATTTTGAAAGTTGTTTATTTGGGATGGTTTTTTTTTGTCTATTCCATGTACTGTTAGAGGATTGTGTAGCTCCGCCAATGCCAGACTGTGCTACTGTAGCTGGCTGTATCGCCCCCTACACACATGGGGAGGTGTGTAACTACCAATGCGATTTCTGGTGCTACGAATTTCTTGGCGACAACTTACTGACCTGCATTGATGGAGTCTGGATTGGAACACCCCTGGTCTGTCTATTATGTAAGCATGTCACAGTACCTACCGTTCCCTATTTTCATGCTTCCCTTTGTGCCGCGTATGTGAAATCTTCTCATGAAGAGACATCCTTTTCGCAACCGTCAGGAATTCATAGATTTAAAGACAGAAATCGGGATTCGAATCTGTCCCAAATATCCCAAAAGAATTTGAATATGAACATGACTCGTCGGTTGATAATGTTAGCTATGATCGAATTCATGTTTCATCTAGAAATTAAATGTTCTTTTCTGACACTGCCAGATTGTCCTGCACCACCGTTACCACTCGACACCATCCGATCCCTCTGTGTCGCCCCCTACACACATGGAGAGATGTGCGACTACGATTGTAAACCCGGGTACAGTAAAACCGGCGGAGACGACATGCTCACCTGCAATAATGGAGTCTGGGACGGGGACGAACTGGAATGTAAAGGTTAGCCGTTTCCTGACTATCCTCATGCCTTCATACATGCCAATGGGTATGATCTCCATCTCCTCGGGAAGAGGCTTCAAACTCTACAAGAGTCGGTAATCCTTAGATTTCTAGATTGGAAGGTCGGCAAAACTCCTCAGACTGATGGATACTGTCTTGCCCCCCGAAAGGGATCTGTTCGGACTCATTAGACAGTCTGGGGTGTTTATAAGTTTAGGTAGTCATGGGGTCAGTTGCAACCAAACTGCTGGAAAGGTCGCAATGGGAGCACTTCCTTATTGTTCTTGCCCAGGGTAAGAAACTCATGGTTTAGATGGCAGCAATGTCTTTAGCAGGTCAAGTTAGTGCATTCCAGGCAAATGTAAGCTCAAGGAGTTGGCAGATTTCCTCAGTGGACAGGTTGGTTCGTTCTCCTAACTTACGGACACAGACCTTATCTTGGTCTGTGTAAGTATGTTTTTTCTTGACTGGTAATCACCAGACAATAATTCTGTTACATGTAATACCAGAGGATTGTGAGCCACCACCAGAGCCAGAAGACAGGGATCTAATCAACTGTGATCCCACGGGCCCCCCAGCCATATACCCGCATGGGACGGGGTGTTACTACGAATGCGCAGAAGGGTACACTTACGACAGCGGCAACGACACGCTGACATGCAACAATGGAGAATGGGAGGAGAGCGACGAACCCCTATACTGTAAACGTACGTATGTCACAGTTCCTAGCAATTCCTGACAGCTTTCAGTACGCTTTCGTTTTTGACATTTCTCTAGAATGTATTTTTCTATATAATTTTTTTTCTTTCCAGCTAATTGTGAAGAGCCAACAGCGCCAGCCAACACCGTTCTAGACAGTTGCACCCCCCCTGCACCCCCGTACTACCATGGGGCGGAGTGCACCTTCAAATGCGCAGTCGGGTACACTAAGGTCAGCGGCGGCGACAACATGATGACCTGCCGTGGTGGAACCTGGCTCCTGGTCGGGGAACAACTATTATGTGCGCCCAGTGAGTATCTTGCAATCGCTGCAAGGAAAGTGACTGTGTCCAATCTTAAATGTGCTCAGTCATAGGTGTTATGCCTCAGTGGCGCCGCCGCAACTTCAGATTGAGGATAGAGGAATCTCTAGAAAGGCCAAATAGTGGGAACTACAATCTCATTAGTGGTGGTATATAGTAACTGTTGTAAGAAAACATGTCCTAGAGGCTGTCACGTTATTTGACGCCCACCCTCACAAAGAAGGCACATACACTACTGTACAAAAACTACACTTTTGCTCAAATTGAGAAACTGAACTTTTTGCTCAGTCAATGTGAGAAGTCACTATGATGCAGTACGTACATGTATTACCATTCAACCAACGACCTTCCGAATGCAAAGCTTACACGTACCTCAAGCTCCAGAGTAAGATATTGCATCGGTCAAGCTATGTTTTTTTTGTACAAAGTCGAAGTTACCAAATTCGTCCTGAACACGTCAAGACCTACGCATTGTTACTAGATTGTGTTATTGCACGTTAGACCTATCATGAAAAATACCTTCTTCAATCTCTGTTCCATGAACTATTATATATGAAGCTTAGCAGTCATTCTCAAAAGTATCGCATGACTCGTCGGTTGTTTCTAAACAAAGACGCTTTTGTTTTCTGTCTAGAATGCGTCTAACAAAATTGTGTCTTAAGTACATCCCTTTCTGTTACATGTACTACTAGAGGATTGTGGGGATCCACCAGACCCAATAGACAGGGATCTAACCGGTTGTGACCCTCCGGGGCCCCCCTACTCGCATGGGACTGTGTGTGACTACGAATGCGCACAAGGGCACACTGACGACGGCGGCGACGGCGAGCTTACCTGCAATAAGGGAGTCTGGGAGGAGAGCGTCGACCCCCTGCGCTGTCCTGGTACGTATGCTACATGCAGACTCACATTACTTATTTATTTCCTTGCGGTGTTCAGTACGCTTCAATTTGATATTTGTTTGGAATGTGTTTGATGAGGTTTTTTTTTCTGTGTAGAGAATTGTGATGCACCAGCAGTGCCAGCCAACGCCGCTATAGACAACTGTACCCCCTCGGCCTCGGGATCCTCCTACGAGCATGAAACGGAATGCACCTTTAAATGCCTACCCGGGTTCACTGAGGTCAGCGGCGGTAACTACCTCGTGCGCTGCATCAGTGGTACAGCTTGGAACGAGATCGGGACAAAACTGGTGTGTGCTTAACAGGCCCACACCACCTCCACCCCCCCCTTCACCCACAA